AAAAAAGGTACAACAGATGAAATTTTTTTTAAAAATTAGTACTCTTGCCAAAATCAGTTTGTCATAGATGTCTGGGACTCTCATTTCTATATTCTTGGTCTGTGTGTCTATTGTTAAACTAGAACCAGGTTGTTTTGATTACTGTACTTGTTGTGTACCATTGAGTTGGAACCGACCCACAGCTGACCCTGTTTTCAGAGGCAGGTTATCACAGAGGAGGAGATTGCCCATACTTCTGGGATTGCAGCACAGCTTCTTGCCATTAGACATGTTTTAAATTCAGGAAAATTTGAATCTGCCTATATTATTTTTCTCTTTTAACACTGTATTAGTTATCCAGGGCTTCTTACTGTTCCACAGAAAAGTGAGAATTGTTTTTTTCTATTTTTTAAAAAAGACTGTTCATTAGGGTTGCATTGAATCTATTGATTGCTTTAGATGATGTAAAAAAAATAAAATGCTTGTTTTGCTTTTTGCCTTTTTCCATGGACATGAAACAGTTCAGTGTAGATCTTTCATAAAAGCAAAGTTATGCAAAGTAAACTTTTGAAAAGTAAGAGATAACTAACTGTATTTCTTTTTTCTCTATGGAAGACTTTAAACATTAGGTATCAATTCTCCAACTATTTGATAGAATCTCCAACTGAAACCACCTTGTCCAGGAATTTTCCTTATTGGGAGGATTTCAATCACTGCTTCAATCTTACAACTGGTTTTGGGTATGTTGAGATATTACACTTTCTCTTAAGTCATTTGGGTAGAGTATATCCTTCTAAGAATTTTTCTGTTTTGTCTAATTTATCTAGTTCATCACTGTACAGTTGTTGTTCATTATATTTTGTCATAATTCTCTTTATTTCCATTAGTTCAATTGTAATTTCTCTTCTTTATTTTCTTGTTTTAGTTACTTGCATCTCTTCCCTTCCTTCATTTCTTTATTTGACTTTAAAAAAAAAACAACAAACAAAAAACACACCCAACCCAACCTTGTTTTCCAATAGTAAAAGGAGCTTTGTGGCTAAGTGTTAAGAAATGGTGCTGCCAACCCAGAGGTAAGCAGATAAAACTCACCAGCTACTCTGCAAGAGAAAGATGGCGATCTCCTCTCGTGTGATATGCTGCCTCTGAAAACCCTCTGGATGTTGGTTCATCTGTGGGTTGGTTCTGATTTGAATACACATAACAAAAACAATAGTTGAGAGACTAAAAGCCATAATTCAAAATGCTGATTCAAAAAAAGAACTTTTTTTTTCTCTTTATTAGCTCTAGAGAAAGGTCTTTGTCCCTTTGGAACTTCTCTTCCTTGGAGATGATCATACAGCATAGGATCTATCTTCTCCTATTCCTGCTTCATGGCTTGCTCAATCATCCCTTTTCTATTTCAAAGTAAATTGATTTAGGACACACCCTATACTAAAATATAACAATGTCTCTTTATTGGTCATAAGATTGTTGAGGCCTGTTGTTTCAGAAGTGAATAGGCAGTCCTTCTTGTTAGTCTGTCTTAATCTGGGAGCTCTACTTTAATACAGCAAATGACAGACAAGTATTGTTCACAAAAGAGCAGATGATAAAAAGCACTCATATACAAAACTAAGACATAAGAAGCAGCAACGTGCAAATCACTACCCCCAAGACAAGAGGCTGATGAGTAAATATTGTACCCCTCAGAGCAAATCCTTTCTTGGTAAGGCAGGGACAATTTTGAAAGACCTAGAAGCCAGATCAGGTTGGACAGCAACAGCTGGGCTCCCTCTTTCTGAAGAAAAATGTGTCATCAAGATCAGAGGAAGACTCATCTACAACCTGCATTATGCAGATGATGTAATCTTGCTTATTGGAAATGAGAAGGATTTGGAGTGTTTGCTGCAGAAGATCAAGGACTATGGCCTTCAATATGGATTACACCTCAACATCAAGAAAACAAATATCCTTACCCCCAAGCCAGTAGACAACAACCTATAAAGAGAAGTCATAAATTGTCAATTCTTTCATCTTCCTTCAATCCACAATCAATAACCTTAGTACTAGCAGTCAAGAAATCAAAAGACATATGGCATTGGGAAAATCTGTTCACGGACTCCTCCAGAGTGATGAGGAGTAATGAAGTCAGTCTAAAGAGTAAGGTGTATCTGATCCAAGCCAAGGTCTTCTCAATCGATTGCTTTGACTGGTACAATTGCAAAGTTGGATAATGGCTTAGGATTACAGAAGAGTCCTTTTTTAGTTCTGGTATTGGATAAGGGTATTAAATATCCCATGAACTACCAAAAGAACAAACAGATCTGTCCTGGAGAAAGTGAAACCAGATTGATCCTTGGAAGAAAAGATGGTGAAACTCCATCTCACATACTTTGGGCATGTTGCTTGGAAGGCCAATCCTTGAAGAAAGACATCATACTTGCAAAACTGGAGCCATCAGCTAAGAAAGGAGGAAGATTCACAACAAGATGAATTGGCATGGTGACTGTAGCATCTCCAACTGTGTTGAAGATGATGAGGATGGCCCAGGATAGGACAAGGTTCAGATTTGTTGTTCATAGGTTTGCTATGAGGTGTGGCGACTTCAAGGTGTGTAACAACAGCAACTATACAAAATACTATTCAACATAACAAAACCTGTTCCTAAATGAGGTTATAACCACAGGATTTACCACACATAACTTCCATTTAAATGTCACTTTTCAAGTCCTTTTTGTGCCTTTCAAGTCAAAACCAACACATAGCTGACCATCCAGTGGGTTTTCAGAGGCAGTAAATCACAGGAGAGATTGTCCATTCACCAGTGAAGGAGCTATTGGATTCAAACCACTCTCCTTCGGGATTGCAGCACAGCTTCTTATCAGACCACCAGAAATCATTCCTTTATCTTCTGTTACACAACTCCATACTTCTTCCTTTTGGACAGTTGTCATTCCAATATATATTCTGGTGTGTTTTGACTTTTACCTATCATCATCACCAGAAGTTAAACTCCATTGGTGGATGAGGGAACGAATTCTGATGGCATAATCTGTAGCATGCTGCACTGCTAATCAAAAGGCTGTGCATCTCAGGACATTCAGGAGAAAGTTGAGCACCCTTCTCCCGTTAATATTACAGCTTTTGAAACCTGATGTTACAGGTTGTTACGAGTTGGAATCAACTAGATGGCAGTGAGTTTGAGGTTTTTCAATGAAGAGGCAAAACCTATTTTCCTTCCTTTTGGATTCCTAGCGAGCAGTACAAGACTGATACAATTGCAAAACTAAAGAAGTATATACAAAATGGGTGAGAAGCAGGTGTAGAACTTTAGGAGATGAGGGGGGAGCAGAGGTGTCGGGAAAGGGTGAGGTGAATGACAGGAATGAAGTGAATCCTTATCTTGTTCCAAATCCACCTTCGGCCAGTATCTAAGCAGCGGTTGATCCCAAAGAAGCTTGGAACAAGGAACAGTCTCCCACACTCATCTTCACTCAAAAGCAGGAGGGTAAAGAGGAACCCGCACAGAGTTGGGAGTTTGGTGTTGTGAGTGAAACCCCAGCTACTTTTTACCAGGGCAATCCTGACTAATGGTTTCGTCATCAGCACTTTTCGTGAATGAATTTGTACTGCCCCCACAGCATGTTTTCTCAAACAACTTAAGTCTCAACATTCATTCACGTATGGAGTAGATCAGGTCCCACTAGTGGAGAGATATGTCTGTAACTGGCGTTTCTTGCTATTTTTAATTTACAGAGCAGTAATGCTTAGAGGAAACCAAAGTTACATCACTGAATTCCTTCTTCTGGGACTGACTACTGACCCTAAACAGCAGACATGGCTCTTTGCCAGTTTTCTGATCATGTACCTGATCAATGTGTTTGGCAATTCAGTCATCATTGCAGCTATCCAAGGGGATGCCCGCCTCCACACCCCCATGTACTTCTTCCTCTCCAGCCTGTCTCTGGTGGACATCTGCTTTACGACTGTCATCGTGCCACAAATGTTAGTGAACATGCTGACTCAGAGAAAGACCATACCTTTTGCCCAGTGCCTCACCCAGATGTATTTCTTTGTGGCATTTGGTATCACTGACAGCTTCCTCTTGGCTGCTATGGCCATTGACCGATATGTAGCCATCTGTAACCCACTGCATTACACCACCACCATGAGTCCCAGACGCTGTCTCCTGTTGGTCACAGTGTCCTGGGTGGTGTCTCATCTCCACTCACTGACCCACACGATTCTCATGGCTCAACTGTCCTTCTGTAGGTCCAACGTTATCCGTCACTTCTTCTGTGATGTTCAGCCACTATTAACACTCTCTTGCTCTGACACCTCTGTCAATGAGCTTCTGGCCTTCACAGAGGGTTCCTTTGTGATCATGAGCCCTTTTATCTTCATTATTATTTCCTATGTTTACATCACCCGTGCTGTCCTGAGGGTCCCTTCAGGAGGAGGCAGGTACAAGGTCTTCTCCACCTGTGGATCCCACCTCACAGTTGTAGCACTATTCTATGGGACCATCATATCCGTATACATTCGCCCCTCATCCACATACTCAATAACAAAAGATCGTGTGGTCACTGTCATCTATACAGTAGTTACTCCCATGCTGAATCCTTTCATCTATAGCCTTAGGAACAAGGACATGAAGCAAGCTTTGAGAAAGCTGACTAGAAGGTCTGAATAGTATAATCATATCCTCAACACTCATTAATGAAGAAAGAATCTGCAAAAACAATTGCTGTGTGGCAGGAATTACACTTAATTATGAGAAGAACAAAAAAGTACATCAATTACTGTGCTTGTCTTCAAATTTCATTACAGTTAAGTAAGTGACAACTGCAACAGAAAGTTATTGTAATTTCTGGTAAAAAGAAATAAAATTATTAATGTAAGATATAGCTATTTTATTGAATTAAATTGTTCTAGTTTTATGCAGTTTCTTTTTCTTTTGCAATTTCTAGCCTGTAAGAGTTGCAAACATGACCAATATTGTATTATGCATCCCAATGAAAAATAGCTTCTCATTATGGATTTAATTGTGTCCCTATCTACCTGTTGAAGTTTTATCCCTTTGTATGTTAATGTGAACTTATTTGCAAAGAGAATATTTCAAAATTATATAGAGTAAATCCTAGTTCCACAGAAGTGATAGTTTATAAAAGAGGAAATCAGACAAAAAAATAAAGGAATTTACAATGGAGGCAGAAGTAGCCATGTTAAAATTGAGACAGAAGCAGAGGCAGATGAAAACCAAAGAAAGTCAAGGATTTCTAAGAACTACTAGAAGTTAGAAAAATGACACAGACCAGTGCCTCAGAGCCCCCAGAGGAAGCCAAAATGGCCAATATCCTGATTTAGACTTTCAGCCTCCAAAACTGTCAAGTCAATAAATTTCAATTCTTTAAAGTCATCCATATTGTAGCATTATGTTACAACCACCCTAGGAAACTAAACCACTCTTGTAATGCTTTTGAAATCTGTGGTTATGTTGACAAATCACATAAAGTCTCAGTAAATCAGTGTTCTTATTGTATGCGTGTGACTAGAAGGCTTTTTTCGTACCTTTAGCACAGCTCATAGCAGACCCTCCAGCAAGTTTTCAAACGCAGTAAATTTTACAGGAAGAGATTGCTCATTCTTCTCCCATGGAAGAGCTGGTGGCGTTGAACCACATGCCTTTGAAATTACAGTGCAGCTTCTTATCACTAGACCACCAGAGCTCCCTAATAATAATAATATCCTAATATTCTAAATCAAGAAACTTACATTACAACTCAGTTTTACAAAGGTGACAATGTTCAAGCTATTACATTTCTCTAATCCTTACCTTTCTCATCTACATAATGAAGACAGTAAAATTACCCCTTATGTAGTTACTTAACTTGTTTAATCTTCAGTTACCAAGTTCTGAAGGCTTTCTTCTTGAACTGGAAGCTCAAATACACCCTTAATGAACTCTGTTGTCTTAAATAAGTACATTAAACTGCTGGTGTCTCATTTTTTCATGGGCAAACAGGTTCTTGTAGGAATTGAATTATCAGTGTTCTAGGATATGCATTAGGGAAGTATGTTGGTCTAGTGGGTAAGAGGCTGCACTGCCAACTCAAAGGCACATGGTTCAAATCCACCAGCTGCTCCACATGAGAAAGATGGCAAACTCTTCCCATGAGAATAACTGCCTTTGTAAAGCTGCTGGAGGATCAGAAATTAATTGGTTTTTATTTAACAGCAAACAATATGATATGTATTATTTGTGTGTTCGCTCAATGCCATTGATTCCATTTCAACCAGTACAACCTCCTCACCCAGTTTCTTAATCTTAGTCCAGGCTCAATCTTAACAAAAGGACACTGTCTAGTTTTCTTCTGTGGATCCAGTGGTGGATTTGAATTGCCAGAGATGTGCATCCTTGTGATTAGCAGCACAACTCACTTCAGACTACTCCACTGGAGTTCCTTATTAATGTGCTAGGTGTCTGTAACAGGGTTTATGTACTAGATGTTTGTAACAGGGTCTTGCATATAGAAAAGGCTCAATATATGTCATTGGATATAATAAATATGATATTTTAAAGTTTCTATGATCCTCTTGCAACCAGTGTTCCATGGTTTGGAATGGAGGAGAAAATAACCATAGTTTCCTATGTTCCCAGTGAGTTCGATCTGAGTATTTCATAAAAGAGGGTACAAATTATTCAATTCTAGGATTTTGTCACTATTATCAATTTTCTTAGAGCCCCCAGTGGGTCAATATAAAGTCTGTCATAATCATTATAGCACCAATGCTCACCGAATGAGATCATTCCTTTTTCTATCCCTCATCCCTGAATTCCATCTTCTGTCTTGTTTAAAACTCTAAAAAATATTTTCACTATCAAGAAAAGCCTCCACTTGGAGCACTGCTCAACCCTTAATATATCTGAAGGACAAACTCAGGCTGAAGGATGTCACAATGAATGAATAAAAGTTGTAGGAAGTTTAGATGACTGGATATAAGTGAGTCAGGGAGATTTAATAACCTCCCTCAATAAGAAAAAGAGGGGATGTGGCAGAAAATGAAATCAAACTTTACCTGACTAAGTTGCTCAAATATTCTTTAAGTAAAATACAAAAACTTAGTGAGGCTCCTTAGTTGAATAATCATTATTACCCAGTGAGTGAGCTTGCTGTTTGTGTCAGGAAATATATACCAAGAGCTGTGATATGCTGTACACTAATAGCTAAGAAAGAAGTCCAATTGTTTTGCATTTAAACCATAGTTCTGATGCAATTTTTACTTTTATATCATTAACAAATTAACAAGTTAAATCTTCTACATTTTATTTACTGGCATTATGCAGATGACACATACTTGCTTGCTGGAAGCAAAGAGGACTTTAAATGCTTGCTGCAGAAATTCAAAGACCACAGCCTTCATTATGGATTACATATCAACATCAAGGGGGGAAAAACATCATGAGTGGGCCAATAGGCAACCTCATGATAGATGGAGGAAAGATAGAAATTGTCAATGATTTAATCTTACTTGGATCCACAGTCAACAACCTTGTTGCCAGCAGTCAAAAGATCTAATGATATGTTGAATTGGGAAAGTCTGTAGTCTTTCCAAAGGGACCTCTCCAAAGTGCTGAAGAACAAGGATATCAGATGTTTAAAATCTAAGCTGCATTTGATCCAAACCATAGTCTTTCCAATTACTCGGCTATGCATCTGAGAGTTGGATAGAAAATAAAGATGACAGAAGAAGAATTGATGCCTTGCATGCTGGTGCTGAATGAAAGTATTAAACATCCTATAAACTGCCAAGAGGACAAACAAATACATCTTGGAGAAGGTGGAGCCAGTGTGTTTCTTAGAGGACAGGATGGTGAAGCTTCAGTTTACATACTTTGCACATGTTATTAGGAGTGTCCAGTCTTTGGAAAAGGACATCATGCTCAGAAAAATGCAGAGTCAGCAAACGATCAGAAAACCCTCAATGAAATTAATTCACCCAGTGATGTAACAATAGGCAGAGATGATGAGAATGGCACAGGATGGGGCAAGATTCAGATCCATTATTCATAGTTTCCTATGAGTCATAGCCGACTTGACAGCACTTAATGACAGCAACAACAACAAATCTACAAATCTTATTTGTTTATATAAAAAAAGGGAAGAATAATACTTGCTGGCCTCTGGAGTTTTGGGACATTTATATGAGGTGATGCTCTGAGTAAGCAAGTAACATACTGACTGAGATTAGTCATGATTGTGACAGAAAGTCTGGTGAGGTACAAACTGCAGCAAGTTGTACTCTAAACCCAAAGGCCTCACATATCTGGCAGTTCGAATCTATGAATGGATGCTTGAAAGAAAGATTGCCAGTCTTCTCAAGTTGTAATTTGCAGCCTCAGAAATCTAATGGAGAAGCGCTATGAGCCAGAACATACTGAATGACAGTAAATGTTTGCGATTATGATTGTAATTGCTTTTGAAACTTTATAACTTGAGACAAATAAATGACTTTTATAGAAAACATGGGGAAATATCAGTTAGTGAGTAGTGATTCCAGGAATCTGTTAGTTGAAGACTAAAGTCAAATTTCAGATAAGGTTGCTTTTACATTATGGGATCAGGGAGTTATGTGTAAACCGAGTGATAGCTCTTGATATTCCCTTCACAATTATAGTCCTGATTGGACACATGTAGAAAGTTTACTGTGAATGGTATCTTTATCAAGATATCAGGTTCCTCAAGGGTAAAGTTTTCAGTCCCATTACCAGGTCAGCCCCATAGACCTCCAGAGGTAGTAATTGAGGATGAGAATAATTTAGAATGGATAATGAAGAAGGATAAGAGTGAACTCTAGTTACAAACTTGACACCAACAATGACCAAGGAGACTATGGTTCATTCCACTAACCTTCATTGTCTAAATTTTTTCTGCTGAATAAAGATTCATGGAAACTATGGAGGAGCTGCTTGTTACACAGAGAAATAGGTTTTTTCAATGCAAAGGGTAAACTGTACAGGCGTGGAAATGTACCACTCTGATCTCTGATGGAACGAAAAATAGTATTTTACAATTAAAAACTTTCAAACAAATCCTTTTTCATTCAGAAGCCGCTGTGAGTTCTGCACATTTTACATACAAGTCATAGTTCTCTCTGTCCTCTGGAGTCAGATATCTAGTCTATTCACTTTTTCTCCATGAGAGAACTATAGGGATCTGAAGATAATGATTGTGGTGCTTACTCTGGACAAAATCAGTTCTATTCATTTATTCTCATTCGCTTGCTGGAAGATGATGAATTTCACTCATGAGGGTTGTAATCTGATTAGAATGTGTAAAATAAATGAAAGTTTAAGGCAGGAAAAGTTAGAACTCTACCACTCCTACCACTACTTTTTCCAAAAGAAGGGTATCAGACATATCCACCCTGAATCAAAGGAATTGTTGAAGCTTCTGAGACTCAGGAGTTAAGAGTCCAGAGGGGACAGCTAGGAGGTTGGACATTTGCCCCATTTAGGTCGCTAACTAGGAGGTCTGGGATTGGGTCCCATGAGCCACTCTATGTAAAAAAAAGGCCACATATCTTCCTGGCTCCTGCTCCTAAGGACGAACTGTTACTCAGCCCTCAGTCATCAGTGTGTGCTACTTCTGCAGGGAAGGAAGAACTCTGGCTACAACCAAACCTCTTGAAAAGAAGTAGAAGAGGCTGGCCAAATAAGGGAGACAGAGAAAACCCAATCCCCTTGGTAACAGTCATCTAAGGATAGCCAAATTTTCCAGGTAAGAGCTTCTGTGTAAGAGATAGATGTGGGACACACACACACACACACACACACACACACACACACACACACACACGCATAGAGAGAAAGTGAGATGAAAAACCCTTCCTACCCTTCTGATTCTTCCTTATATGCTAACCAAATTCAACCTGCCTCTTTTGATCACCATGAGAAATGGCTTGATTTAATATTCGGTCTAGCCAGAAATCAATGCAAGTCAGCCTTCCTCAAGCCCCCAGCATTACCCAAGTCATTTTAACTGTGCAATACCAAGTCTTAAGACTTTTTACCATTCATGGAAAATTCCTTCACAGCCCAATCAATCATAAATGCCTTTCACAAGCATTCTATACTACAATCCAAAGACCGTGGGAGCTCTACTGGCATAGTCCATGGACAGTTGGGTTGCTAATTGGAAGGTAGTCAGTTCAAATCCACCAGCAGCTCCTAGGAATAAAGATGGGAAAACACTTCTTACATGATTTATAGCCTTGGAAAACTTGCTAGAGGATCAGCTATATGAGTCAGCTCAGACTTGGTGACAAGTCATCCAAAGAGCCAAAGACAGTAACAGTCTCCACAGCAATTAGTGAGCCATGTCCTGTTTTATTTTTTCAATTACATGTCAGAATTCTTTGACCATATTTATTTAATCTTGTCTTACATTTGAGACTTTCTAAAGTTAAATGATCTGACCTAGAAGAGACAGCTGGGACTCAACTTAGACTTGTGCATGTCAAAGTGGACATTTAACATGGTATTACTGAGTCAGCATCATCACCAAGCAAGAATCATCGTGGTGATGATATTGATGGCAATGATATTATGACTCTACATTTGAAAGTTTCTAGTATTCACTTCCTAAACAACATGCCTCCAGAATCTATAAACTTTGATAAATGTCAATAGCTGTAGAGGGGCTTCAGGCCTTTTGTTCATAGGGTCGCTAATGAGTTGTGCTCAAGTCAAAGGTAATCAATAAGTTATTAAGTCCAAATTCCCACAATGACCAGAACCAAGCGACATATAAAATGGACAACACTTCCAGCTTTTCCATAACTGAGGAGTTCTGGATAAGTGGAACTTTTAGATATTTACTCTAAGAAGTGGTTGGCAGCATAATGGCAGACAGTGGAGAGATTTAGATTGTTAACAACTTCCATTTGCTTGAATCCACAATCAACACTCTTGGTACCAGCAGCCAGGAAATCAAAAGATGAATTGCATTGGGAAAGTTTGCTGCCAGGGACCTATCCAGAATACCGAAGAGGAACAGTGTCGGTCTGGAGACTAAGGTATGCCTGGTCCAGGCAATAGTCTTTGCAGTTACTTGCTAAGTATGCATCAGAAAGCTGGACAATGACTAGAAATGATAGGAGAATTGATGGCTTTGAGCTGTGGTGCTGAAGAGTGCTGAATATAATAACATGGACTTCTAAGAGAACAAACAGATTCTTCCTAGAGAGGGTGAGACTGGGCTGCTCCTTGGTGGCAAGGATTCTGAAATTTCATCTGACATTCTTTGGGCTTGTTGTAAGGAGGGACCAGTCCTTGCAGAGAGACATGATGCTTGGCAGGGTGGAGTGGCAGAGCAAGAGAAGGAAACCCTCAATGAGATGCATTGATTCAGTGACTGGGGTAATGGGGTTAGGTGTGTCAGAGATGATTATGTTGACAGAAGTTAGAGCAGAGTTTAGGGTTGTTATACATTGAGTTGCTGAGTCTCAGGCGACTTGACGGCACATAACAACAACTCAACTCTAGAAAGTGTTCTTAGTTGGTTAAATTCTATAAGAAAAACAGTAATATCATTAAAAGTTAATATCTGACGGACATTTTATGTGCCAGTCATGTGTTAAATTCTGTGATTAACTAACATTAGATTAAATCTTAATCTAATTTAATACAACAAAGCCTATGAATGAATTATTGTTGTTGTTGTCATATACCATTAAAATGGAACAGACTCATAGCTGACCCTATTATAGGTTTTCAGAGACTATAAGTCACAGGAAGATATTGCCCACCTTTCTCCTGAATCCTATAAATTAGGCTTTGTTAGTAACAAAGCTCCTTTGAGGAGCCAGAAAACAAAAGGAAAAATTAAGTGCTCAGCTTCTAATAAAAAAAGTTGACAATTTAAACCCACTGAGTACAAAACTCATTGTCATCAATTCAGAACCAACTCATAGCTGACCCTCATCAGATTTCTGAGGCTATAAACTATGCGAAGGAGATGGCCCATTTTCCTTAGCCACAGGCAAGTCGGAACCACAAGAGAGGATCTGCCTTTGTCTTAGCATCGCAACTCCCTACAGACTATATCAGCTGGCAATCTACTTCTGTAAAGATTACAACCCAGGACAATTTATGTGAAATCTCTACTGTGTCTTCTAATGTCAGTATGAATTTGAATCGACTAGAGGGCACGACATTGGTCCCTCCTAGCAGATGCACAAACTGAGGTCTTAGAAAGCAGGATCCATTTCTTCAGTGTCACAGTCTATATGAGTACTATGTGTTCAAAGAAAAGGTTTGTCAAACACTAGCAGAAATGTTTTCATCAATATGTCAGAGTATGGCATTAGCATATGCTGCCTTTGTCTACCCATTCTTCCACCATGTAAAGTGTACAAATTCGAATGTCTCATTTTGGGTTTATATCATAAATTGGGAAAATAAAACCTTAATTTACATGGATACTTTGATGCTTTCAACAGTCCAGTGACTACACTTAGAAATGATGAAAGGTTTTATGTCTTTGTCTTACAAATGATGAAAAAGAAATTAGAGAAAATAAACAATTTGCCCACGATAAAAAAAGAAATTTAGATGGGTTTTCCAGCTGAGAGATATATTGCTTTACACTTTCTAGTGATCAGGTATCTTAACTCTTTTTATCTTCTGTTCTTCCTACTAATAATAGTAATAACTACTACCACAACTTATTGAAAGTCTATCCTTGAAAACCATTGAATATATTATTTTCTGGATTATTTTCAATAACTACATAAAGTATGCATAAAGTTTACAGCCTAGAAAACGAGTTCAGAGAGCATAGGAAGATGTGTAAATTGCAGCTCCACACAGCCAGGAAGAGCAGATAAAGGATATCCATCTAGTCTATAAGACATCATAGCCAACATTTCTATTCCGTAATGATGTTGGTGGTGATAATTGTTATTTTATTTGTAAAATCATGTTAAGAATATGGAATTCTTTCATTCACACTAACTTATTTCATGGGTCTTCAAAAAATAAATCAAAGACAGAAGCACCCATCAAACCAAGAATGCTTAAGTCTCTGATCAGTCACTTGTAACCCATCCTCATTTCAACACACACATACATAATTCTGCTTACCTATATTTTTCTCAGGTCTTTCATTCATAGGGTCGCTATGCGTCACCTACGACTCAACAGCACTTAACAAAAACATGCAAGGCAGGAATCTCCCAGGCCTTGCCTTACTCAAATTCAGAAGTCTGAGATAGACAGTTTTCCTATTTTAGAAAGAAAAGAGAATGAAGAGTTATGAAACTTCTTCCAAGCTGTTCTTCAGCTCACCTTCACCCAGAAGGTATACACAACAGCTTATTTTACAACTAGATTGCAAAGTTTACATCTCATTGTGTCTCGTTATCATCATTCAGGATTCTCATTGTTGCACATGTTTGTATGCCTGTCACCAAGAGATACCATGGCCTTTGAACAGACCACAGAAAAGCAAACCAAAGACTTTGAATGACATAACTTTCTGGAATCTCTATATTTAAACCTTTTCCTTCTACTGTCTTACTGTAAATGGGAATTAGAAACAGAACCACTGTCTCTGACTTCCTCCTCCTCGGCTTCTCTGAGCATCCAGAGCAGCAGTCTCTCCTGTTTGGGCTCTTTCTGGTCATGTACCTGATCACTGTATTGGGGAACCTGCTCATTATCCTAGCTATAAGCTGTGACTCACATCTGCAAACACCCATGTACTTCTTTCTGGCCAACCTATCCTTCACCGAGACCTGCTTCACCTGCACCATTGTCCCAAAGGTGCTGGTAAACATTCATACACAGCATTACACCATCTCCTACGCTGGGTGTCTTGTACAGATGTACTTCTTCATGGCATTGACCTTGCTGGATGACTTCCTGCTGGCTGTGATGGCGTATGACCGCTATGTGGCTATCTGTCTTCCACTCCACTACACCATGATCATGCATCCCCAACGTTGCCTGCTGCTGGTGGCCTCATCCTGGCTTTGTTCTCATCTGTTGGCCTTCTCACTTACTTTCTTGATGTCCCAATTCTTCTTCTGTGCCTCACATTCGATTCCACATTTTTTCTGTGATGTACCCCCACTTCTAAAACTTGTATGCTCAGATATCCATAACTATCAGGTCACAATGTTGACGGAAGCCATTCTCTCAGGCCTGATTCCTCTCACATGTGTGCTGGTCTCTTATGCCCATATCATCCACACCATTGTCAGAATCCCCTCCTCTGGAGGGAAGCACAAAGTCTTCTCTACGTGTGGCTCTCACCTGTCAGTACTCACTCTTTTCTATGGAACCCTCTTTCTTGTCTATTTAAGGCCCTCCTCCTCCTACTCAGCAGATAGTGGGATGGTTATATCTGTGATATACACAATGGTCACCCCAATGCTAAACCCTTTTATCTACAGCCTGAGGAACAGGGACATGAAGGGAGCTTTGTGGAGACTCTTTGACTGGGGAAAATGTTCTGCCCAATAAAGGGTTCTTCACCAGAACAGTAACTCAAAATCTTTCTCACTGGACTTTGCCACTGAAAGGACAGCAATCCCTACTTAGTGAATGTAAATATCTGAGTGGTAGCACTGATGGTTCGGTGGGAGAATTTTCACCTTCCATACAAGAGCCCCAGGTTCAATCTCTGGACAGCACGCTTCAACCACAGCCGCCACCCATCTGTCAATGAAGACTTGCAAGTTTCTTTGATAATGAGGAGTTGTCCATGGAACTTCCAGACTAAGACAGACTAGGAAGAAAGGTCTGGTAATCTAGTGGCAAAAAAATCAACTAAAATCATATAGATCCCAACAGTTTGATCTCATGCTCTACGTGAGATTACCATGGGTCAAGGCCAACTCAATAGGTGCTAACAGTAACAACAAAATGTCTTAGAAAAATCAAGTCACAAAGTGGAAAATAACTAAAATAATTACCTCAAACAAAGCTTTGGTTCTAGGAAAAACTCTAGTTATCATCTAGGTCTATGTCTAAGATAAGCAATGCCAAAAATACACACAACAGGTCAAGTTTTCAAAATTTCAGAGACCATTTATTAGTTATGGCAAGCACTTACTTTTTTTTTTTTAGTCTTATGTTTGGTTTCTTTTGCTTGCTTTTATTGAAAAAATATATATTCTGGTGACCTATTGGCAAGAAGTTGGGCTGTAATCCTGAGGGCACACAGGTTCGAGGCCGGCCACCAGTTGCTTAGTGGGAGAAGGATGAGCAATATCCTTCCATGTGATTAACTGGCTATGAAAACCTGCCAGAGGGTCAGCTGTAGATCAGTTCCGACCCGACGGTACACAGAAATAACAAACAACAACAATAGTACATTTGAGGGAGCTCTGGTAGCCTAGTAATAAAAAGCTGTACTGCAATACCAAAGACTCGTGGTTCAAATCCACCAGCTGCTTCTCAGGAAAAAGATGAGCAGTCGCCTCCCATATGATTTACTGCCTCTGAAAACCCATCAGAGAGTCACTCATGGGTTGATTTCAATTCAACAGCACACAACAACAAACAACATAGTACATTTGAAGTATATAAACAAATAAAACAGAATAGTACTCAAGTCCATTTCAAGATCCCACTGTTCATATGTTATCATTTGTATTTTTCTAATTGCATTTGTCTTACTTAGTGGAGAAAATACACATGAATAGTCTCTATATTACTATCAATTTTTAAAATTACAAAATTAATAGCCTCCATATTATTATTAATTTTTCATAAACACTTCTCTGTCTAAAATTATAATAGAGTCAAGGTCCATGATTTACAAACATTTCATGATCATTGGTGATTGGATATTTCTAAGCTTTCATTTTTATAAACAACAATGCAATAAAAGTGTCTAAGGAAAAAAGTCATTTTACTATTTTATATACTGTTGATATTTTCCAAGGAATAATTCTAAATTTAAAAAAAAATTAGGACTCTTTAGGTAAGCTGCCAAAATTCACAAACATAAGTTTCCCTTTTTGTCTGCATCCTATTCATAATTTGATGTTCACATTTTCCTTTATTATATCCAAAGTAATACTGAAAATTTTATTTTTGCTTTAGTTTTATTTTTTTGTAAGATAGTATGTCCCTAGGCCCATTAATAAATTTTTAACAATAATATCTTTTTCTGATAATTTGCCTAGTATATATTAGAGACTGCTTATGGAGTTGTACAAACCATTTTAATATTTAAGATATTCTGTAAGTACCTTCTTTTTGAAATCATGTTCCTGATTGTTTCTTGTTCTCTTACTTTTGTGATATTGTTCATGGAAAAGTTTTCAATTTACACATTGTCAAATAAAGCTCAGAGGTCTTCCTTTCTGAAATTCTTTTGCTAGAGTTATAATTATTAGTTCCTTTTCTGTGCAGTGTTTGCAAATAATCAACAAAATTTTCTTAATTTCCTTATAATATTTAACAATAAAATATTTATTGTTTTATACTAACATATTATTTTAATAAAATTATGTTTTAATTGAATAATAGATTTCTTCTTTTTTTGCTGCATCTATACATGACTGTAGAATGAAATCATGCGCTTTACATGATTCTCTCTCTATATATTCTGCTTTCTGCAAGTGATTCCTTTCCAATTCTATGGTCAACGATCATAAACAAAAAGAAATGCTGTCTCTAAATTACCATTCACCTATAAATACATAGAACACATTTCACTTTGCGTCTTTACTCACACTACTCTCTTTCTGTAGTGCCTCACCCTTCTCCAAGCCCAGTTTAAGTGTTTGTATTCTCTATATAGATCTAGTTCACATTGGTAAACTAGAATGCATGCATGTCTCTCAATTCTCTTTGTCTCTTTATATGTCTATTTTTGGCAAATTGTTTTACATACATTTAATTTAGTGTATATAGATACTTAAGAAGATCAAAGGTTCAGTCTTGAATATGGGTTATATCTCAATAACAAAAAAAAAATCCTTACAACTGAACTAAAAGACAACATCATGATAGATGGAAACAAGATTAAATTAGTCAAGGAGTTCATTTTACTTGAATCCACAATAAGCACATATGGGAGCAACAGTCAAGAATCAAAACAGGGGGGATGTGTGTCAATGGATAAATGAATGAAAGCCCATCCCTTCAGTAAACTTTCACTAAAATCATAATTTTTAAAAAATCAAGACATGTTACAATGGGCAGGAAGGATCTCATGAAAATGCTAAAGAGCAAGGCTGTCAGTTAAAAGATTAAAATGGGCCTGAATCGAGTCATGATATTTTCAGCTGCTTCCTATCCCTCTGAAAAGTTGACAAAGAGTATTGAATATATGAAGGATTGCCAAAAGAAGTATCTCTTGGAAGAAGTACAACTAGGATTTTCCTTGGAGTCAAGGATGATGAAACACTAGCTTTGTGGTAAGAAACTGCACTGCAATCCCAAAAGTATGCAATTCAAATCTATAGCTGCTCCACAGAAGAAGGATATGCAATATTCTCCCGTGTGATTTATTGCCTCTGAAAATCCACTGGAGGGTCTAGCTATGGGTCAGCTACCTGACAGTAC